TTTTTGTCTTTGCCAATTTTTATTAAATGTTTATTTATTTATTTATGTATTTATTTATTTAGGCTTTTCATTTTAGGATACTTATATTCCTTTTTACCTTGCCTTTAATGTATTTATTTATTATTTATTTCTTCTTTTTCTTATAGGCTACTGTACATGTACTAGTAGGTCTATACTGGTATGATACATATATGTTACTAGCAGCTAATTTTTCCTTTACTTCTAGCTAATAAATCTTTGCATACCATCTAGTATAATGCAAAATGATACGATAGCTATAGGTGGTGCAATATCAGTACTTTGAACGAATATAATGTATCTTTTGATTCGTTCAAAGCGAGGTAATGCCCTTGACCTTACAAGCAGCTGTGTCCAATATGGCGGACACCAACAAGGTTACGAGTAAACAAAGAGTGAAATATTATCGTCTACATGAAGGAAGCTTTTGTTTGAAGATTGGCACTGTCAACCTTTGACATGTACGATGTAAGGTAAATATGGGAGTAAGCGTGAGTAAAAGTAACACAGCACCAGCGAAGAGGAAGGACGTTTTTATACACGGGAATGTTTCACACCACCAGCATCACGCTAATGCTATTCAGAATGACTGGCTCGCAGCACAAGAGCAGCAGAGACGGCAGCAACTGGCCTGGCAGCGGGCGCAGTGGTACCAACACATGCAACACATACAGCAGCAGCAACAAAACCTTAACAGAGTGCACCAACAACAGCAGGAGAACGTCTCTCCTCAGGCTACAGAACCGTGGCAAAATGCTGCCACGGAAATTATCGTCGAGAGCATGGGGGAGGTCGTGGCGCGAGAAGCCTCAGGGGAGGAAAAGGAACCACCCCTGCCAGAGGCCGAGTATGGGGATTTTAATCTGGGAATAACGGTAAAGATGACCCATAGGTTGCTTGGATTAAATTATTCAACTCGTAATTACAGTTTACATTCACGTGCTGTACTAGTTAGACAACTGCACTGTACATGTACGGTACATGACATATTCTACTGGTTGTACAGTACTTTTCTTTTCTCACTCGAAAATTTTTGATTTAGCACACATACATGCATTTACAGTCTGAGGATCAAAGCAGATCGAGTTAAGTTTGTCTTAAAGCTTAGACTACATTCCAGTTGAAAGTTTTTGTGAAACAATGACCCCAGGGGTCTAGTTTATCATCTATCAAGTCTCACCATACTCATATTTTTAGAGCAAAATTGGAATTAAGATACTTGTACATGTAAATGCAGGGTATATCTACTAGTAATTTATGCTGTGCACCCATTAGGTTATTTATTAAAGGTAATATTCATTTGTGATTTTAATTTTATTCTGTCCAGATCTATATTGATCATCATCATCAATATTGATTTATTGTGTCAAGAGCCCTTCTTATTGATTATTTCCCAGCCTATGGATGCTGTTACTGCCACACTTGCAAATCTTGGAGGCAGGTTGTTTGAAGACCCTGACTTCCCAGCTACCAGCGCTTCTCTCACCTACCTTGAGAATCCACCTGCTGCTAGTCGCCAGGTTGTATGGCTGCGTCCTAAGGTATTAAATTATGTAAATAATGTCTGGATGAGCTGTTTTATATGAGGGTCACCAACATTAACTTTCCTGATGTAGTACATACTACCTTGGAATCCCTTAAATATATTTAGATCATTTCTTTCCGGTGTATAAATATCAAGATTAAGACATGTTTCTCCTTGGTTTTACAAACAAACATAATAAGATGCTTTGCTAATTTTCAATCTTAAGTCACATAAAGTAAAAAGAGGCAATTTTGTAAAAAAAAAAAAAAAAAAAAAAAAACTTAGCATAGAGATCTAAAAAATTAAACATCCTATTTTATTTGCCCTCATTCTTGTTCTTGTTAGAGTACATACTTCCTCACTTAAAACCAGTTTTGGGTCTTTTTTTTTTTTTTCACTTTTTCCAGAGCAATTTATACTTTTCTATATAAAGAGTTTAATTTTGCTCATTCTTTTTTTATTTTAAAACCTTTTAAAAGGTGTATAATAATAATATTTGACTTGTTTAATCCTGAAAAGAGGAAAAAAATAATAATGGTTGGTTATAATTGTAAAACTTAAGCAGACTTTCCTTTTCAAAAAGTTTTATTTTCTAGGACATAGTTGGCCCAGGTAAACAGCCCCAGTTAATTAAAGATGGGATCAGTAGGTCAGATATTGACCAAGGTTCTCTGGCAGACTGCTGGTTCCTTTCTGCATGCGCTGCAGTGTCTGCACGACAAAAGTTCATGAAAATTGTAAGTAAGAAAAAATTGAAAGCAAAAAAAAAAAAATTATTTAATTATAACAGCGCTTCATGTAAAAGAGAGGGAGATTTATTTCCACATTGTCTAATTAATTCAGTCATTCTTAAATATTCAATTTCAATTAATTTTTATTTATTTCATTTTGGTTTGAATTAAATTTGATATTTTTCAAAATGGCTACTTCTTAGGTTTTTCTAAAATAAATATATGATTTTATTTTCAAATAAATAAAGTACTGATGTAGAATTTTAAATTTTATATTAAAATGTGTTCTTTTATTATTATTATTATTATTATTATTATTATTATTATTATTATTATTATTATTATCGTCAATGTTGTTATTGTTGTTTTACAGTTGCCATTATTATTATTATTTTTATTATTTATTTATTTTATTATTATTATTATTATTTTTTTTTTTTTTTTTTTTTTTTTTTTTTTTTATTATTTTTTTTTTTTTTTTTTTTTTGCTTTAATTAATTTTTAACATTGCAGTTCATAATCCTCCCTCTGTCTCTTCAGATTATCCCTGATAACCAAGTATTAACTGGTCCAGAATACCATGGAATAGTCTGGTTCAGATTCTGGAGGTTTGGAAAATGGTACAATGTCTGCGTTGATGATCGCCTGCCCACCAAGAATGGCAAACTGTTCTACGGAAGCTGCGATGATTCTGAGGAGTTTTGGGTGCCACTGCTGGAGAAGGCATATGCCAAGTATGTCATTGTGATTCTGACTTGTTAATATAATTGATTCAGGGGGGAAATGGTGGGGAAATGCTTTAATGTCCTATTTTTTTATTTTTGTTTATGTGCTTGTTTATTTGTTTATTTATTTTTTAATTTATTTTTGGGGCGTTAGATAGAAGGTTTTAGATATAGAAGGTTTTTGGACTGACGAAGGCTTCTCGTATACCCAGTATACTATGTTACTGATAACTAAGTATTATTATTATTATTATTATTAATATTCAGACTCCATGGCTCCAATGAAGCACTGTGGTGGTCATATTATTGTTCATATTTCAGACTCCATGGCTCCTATGAAGCACTGTGGTGGTCATATTATTGTTCATATTTCAGACTCCATGGCTCCTATGAAGCACTGTGTGGTGGTCATACAATGAATGCACTGCTGGATTTGACTGGTGGTCTGGGAGAGAAATACGAGGTGGCTCTCAAGGCAGAAGAGTACCAGAAGTTGTTCCTGAAGATACTACATGCACACAGATCTGGGGCATTTATTTGTGCTTCCAAGAGGGTAAGTACTGGAGAAATTTACATGCATACAAGCAGGGGTCAGGATTCTGGATGAACCAATTATTTCAAACAAACAAACAAACAAAAATGGATTTGGCAGTGGTTTGGTAAGTAGGAAATTTTACAATGGACCCTTGGTACAAAAAACCTTATGTTGATGTTTTATGCTCAAACATTGAACATAATGTGGGAGTGTAAATTTTTCTCACTTTAAAAACATCCCTTATATTCTGCTTTTGTGTTTGTTAAATGTGATATGTCTGACAAGCAAAAATAAAACTTGTCTCATTACCCTGTGCTGGTTAACCAACTTCATGTTATCAGTTTGTCTGACCTAAGTGATGCATTTTGGTATCATTATGAAAACAAAATGGGAAAAATCAGTTAAAATTATTATCATTTCCATTTTTTTTTCATTTATAACATACATGTAAATAACATTGATATTCATTATTATTATTATTATTATTATTATTATTATTTACATTTTCAAATGTACACTGACTGATTTGGAGCATACAGAGAACCCAGTCATCATGTAGAAGTTAGTAAAAATTATTTCTTCAGATATAAGGGACTGGGGCAGACAGAAAGCCTCGCAAATAAGTAAAATATTTTGAATTCTTATTATCTTCAGGTCCAGGGACAGGGGCAGACAGAGGAGGTGGACAAGGAAGGCCTGGTGTCAGGACACGCATATACTATCACCAATGTTGTCATTGTAAGTCTTGTCTTTGTCGTTAATAGTGGTTCTTATTGTTGTGACCTTGAGGGCACGATATAGTGTTTTGTGTTTTACACTGCACATTGTATGCAAGTTCATTTAAAGTTATTTTATGATATAATACAATATACATGTGTTAATTTGAGTGTTGTATATCAGAAAGATAAAATGGTTAAAAAGATCTGGAATAAACCTACTGATAATAAGTGCATTTATAGATGGATACAATGAAGTTAATAATCATATTTACAACAAATATAAGGAAAAGTGTCTTTCAAAAGAAAATGAAATAAAATGGAATAAAATTTCTATAGAGTTCTAAAATGAACAGAATAGAGACCTGTAAGGATTTTTTAAATTTAAATGTATTTATTTAGTGAGTCTTTGAGTGGGAGTAGTGTTTGGGTCGGAAATTGGATTTTAATTTTTTTTTTTTTTTATTTATTCATTTATTATTATTTTTTTTTTGGATTTTCAATAATTAAATCATACAAATACCTAAACAAGCCACTTTTATCTATTTCTCCTGACCAGTTAAAGCAGGGTAATGGACTGGCACACCTAATCCGTGTCCGTAACCCCTGGAACAGCGCCACAGAGTGGAATGGAGCCTGGAGTGATGGGTGAGAACAGATAAAAGATTTTCATCACTTGATGAATTAAATTTAATTATTTATAAATGATATTTATTTGATAAATATATATCATTGATTTTTGTTGTTGTTGTTTTTTTTTTTTTTCGTCTATAATTTAAAAAAAAAAACTTTCATGTACATTTTATATATTCATTTTAATATTATATTATATTAAAGGCATTTCTCTTTTTCAGACATGAGTTTTGGAATCTCATTGATAAGTCGGTAAAAGAGAAGCTTGGCCTCACACATAAAGCTGATGGGGAGTTTTGGATGGACTACCGTGACTTTGCTCAAAGATTTAGTATTATCAACATATGCAGTGCAGGACCAGACTTTGATGGGGATGGAATACCAGATCAGTATGGTGAGTTCAAGATTTTTTTTAATAAAAAAAATGTTTATCACAATTTTCTTGGTAATTGTTTTATTATATGAATTGATTTTTTTTTTCAATGTACGAACCCGATTTGATTTATAGTTATTGGTGTGTTGCTTGAAAGTACACTACTGCTGATAATCTGTGTATTTTCCCATACTAGTAAATTGGTGACTTTATTGAAAAGGGGCTATAGAGTAAATATAGTTTTAGGAACAGGGTATTTATTTATTTATTTATTTATTTATTTATTTATTTATTTATTTATTTATTTATTAGATGTCTGTTTATTCATTTATTAAGAATGTGTGGATGACCTTCCATAAATATTTTCACTTGTTCATACCGGTAGGTCATGTTGTGATGGCATTTGGAAACTGGGTAGCAGGACAAACAGCTGGTGGACGGAGAACCCTTGAAACTTACACCACAAATCCTCAGTATCTTCTTCATGTCACTCACACAGGTACATGTACACTAGATATGTCACTTTATGTCACTTACACAGGTAGACTGTACTGGTTATGTGCCACTTTTCAAGTACTGTCGATAGAATGATATATCATTTAATCAATCTGCTATCTTTAAACAGAAATAAAACTTCAATCATTAAATGTCTGAATTTTGGGGGTTATTATGTTGTGAATGATGTGTTATATTGCCTTATTTGCCTGTTTTGTTGTAAGCCCGTCTATAGAAAATATAGCACTCTCAGCAACATTACTGGACTATTTTTGAAATGAAAATGCTGCACTAAATCTTACAGATTTTGTGTATATTGTAATGGCACCTTTGTAAATAAACATAACATAGCCACTTAGCAGTATTATTTCTTGCAATGTTATTGTTCTATTTTCAGTTACGTTTTTACACCTTTGAAAATAAATGTTATTTAAAATGTCATTAAAATACATTAAAATATCATTGTTCTTTGCAGATAATTTGTAAACAGGTGTAGTATTGTTGTCTCACTACTGTTATTTATTGTTATATAATTGTTACATTTACAGATAATTTCAATGGTGATCCCACTGTGGACAGATGCAGTATTGTCATTTCACTGATGCAAGAGTACAGGATGTCTTCTAGAACAGAGATTCCTAAAGCACATTACATAGGCTTCCATTTGTACAACGTAAGTTGTAGAGCATTCACTTAGCTCTCCCCATATACTGCTACATGTACACCCCTTGATATCTTAGATCTGTCAGCAACAACTCTTTCCATTTTATCACCTAAAAATTCTCTCATATTTTTCATCAGTTTTTATTTATTTATTTATTTATTTATTTATTTATTTCGACAGGTCAAGCCAGCAGATTCATATGCTAGAAAAGTTATTCCTATTGGTCTCGCTGAAAAGGAAGGTCCATATTTGAACTGCCGCCATGTCTCAGAGCGATTTCACCTAAAACCCGGTTATTATCTCTTTGTGCCAAGCACATATGATCCCTACAAGGAAGGAACATTTCTCCTCAGGATATTTGGGGTGCACAAATTTGAATTCATAGGGTATGTAACTACATGTAAATGAAATAATGTATTATTATTAGTTCTTTTATATTTATTTATTGAAAATGTATTTGTTTAACATAATGATGTCATAGAACTTTAAATTAACTTGAATGGGGTATTAAAATTTTTGTGTGTGTGTAGCCAGTCCTATCATTTTCTTAATTGACAGTTTATTAGTTAGTATGACATACTGTAACACTGCTGTTTTGCTTTCTGAAACATTTTAAGAGAGAGGGGTGCAACAACAAATGTCATACATGTTAACAAATATCAAACACAGAATATTGGCAAGCTATTTATTTATTAAGCATGTTTGACCTGTTATAGATAATGTCTTCATTTCATTTTAGGCCATTGCAACACTTGCCCAATAATGGCTGACCAGGTACTTGCATCCTTGACTCGGAGTTGTGTTTTCAAGATAGTCAGAAGTTCCCAGACCAGAGTGCCCTCCATCTACATAATTCCTTAATTTATCTTTTTATTAGTAATTCTGATAATTGATCTTTGAAAATATAAACACTTACTTTCATTGTGTCCAATCTGATAGCTTTCAGGGATGTTAAACAGTGGCAGTAGTGTAATGAAAGATAGCAATTTTAGACGTGAAGCAAGATTTGCTTACTGCAGTAGATAGGATACTAGTACTCTGCTTTGCCACCAGGTGTCATGCTAGTCTAGATGATGTCTTGGACAGAAAAACGGCTGTCAGCTTGTCAACTCTGATTAGTTTGTGGGGCATGAAATAATGGTACATTTTTCAATTAGGCTCTACTTTGCTGAAATTATGGCAATTTGTGGAGCTCACTAGATCATTACAAAGTGGAAATGTACGGGTACTCAGTGGAAGGCAGTACAATTAAACATTAAATACATGTAATTATTGACTTGGCTGATCATGATGTTAATACAGGGTATGTTGTTTTTAATACCTTGGAAAAATCATATTGGCCAGTATTTTTACCTGTGATACATTAATTGTAATATCAGTCAGTTAAGCTACATAGGTCTGTTTAGAAAAGGCATAAAGTTTTTAAGCTGTGATACATGTCATTTTTTAAATTTTCTATGAATTTATATGGAACAGAAACTGCAAGCATCATGTTTGTAGTAGTTTTAACCCAGGTATATATACTAATTACTAGTATGTCCATGAACTGTGATCAAACAAACTATAGCATTATTACGCATTTTGACAAACACTAACAGTATATTGTATACATGTATATCTATAGTGTACTTCTTTAGTTTTCTGCATCATTTTTTGTAACATTTTGATGGTATTTTTTTACCAATTTATATATTGATTGATTTTTTATTGATAATCAGTCTCAAATGAGGCAGCTGTTTTGTTATTTGCTTTGTTTTTGTCATTTCAATGTATGTACATGATCCATATGTGACAGTTATTGCTTTTTTCCATTCGACTTACTAAATAGGTAGGTTTTTAAAAATAATATTCTTAAAAGAATATAGTCACCTGCATGGTAATTGGTAATGTTCAAAATTGACTATTTTGTGCAAGCGGACACTTAGTCTGTGTTGTTAAACCAAAGCTGGAGAACGTTTTCATGTTCAAATATATCTACCCAAACAGGCTGTCTTCGTTGATTTGTCATTAATTTACGTAGATTCTGTATATCTGAAATGATGCCACTGGCGATTTTGCGAAGTTTTTAGAAATAACTTTATTGGATATGTATCCAACGTCCATATGCAGTCATTAGTATGTCAATTCTACAGATTTCAAGTAGCAACAGCCTTTTTTAAGCTTCTTTGTAGCAACAAGGAAACATTTCATTATAACAGTTTGATGCAGGAACCTATGGCGGGGGGCCGTAGAACCGCTCGCAGAGATAATCTATGGGGCTCGTCTGGCTTCTCGAGGTGAACAAATTCAATATATTGACCCGTGCTTGGAGACTGGGCGAGCAGGGAAAAGCCACCGGTGCCCGTTTTTGTCTTGATTTGGCCTCACTGACGGACCACTGTCCCGGTCCCACTGTGTCCTCTGTTTCACTTCTTGTTTTTCTGGACAGATACGCCATCATCCGGTTACCCTGGTCCCCGACTGTTTCAAATGGTCCGGAAACTGCAAGATGAAATATAACACACAGAGAGTGAGCATAACAGTGGGGATTCCCTGGTTGGGACGACATGGAGAACGTACCCAATTTACTGGTAGATGCAGGGTATAGGCAAGAGGTCACAATTTTGACCCCCCCCCCCCCCCCCCCCCCCGGCAAAAATGGGAATTGCTGCAGTTTTAGCTATTCGAAGCATTCTTTTGTATGTGGTCTGTCAGTGTGAGCGTTTTCTTTCAAGTAAGGAGGAAGCTAGGCCGGAATCTGCTCTTTTTTTTTTTTTTTTTAGGATTGCTTAATGGCTTCTGGTTATGCTGTTTGTACCTGTATTTCAACTACACTGCAGCAACAAAGTAAATACAATGTATGTATTCGGTGGGTATTCATTGAATACTCAAAGTAGGCCCCTATCAATGAGCATTCTGAGCATTAAAATAGTTGACTTCTTCATAGCTAAAAAAAAATAACTCCACGTAAATGTACCCATTACCTAAAACGTATTGTTTATTGTTAAAGGTAAGTAATCTCAGTATCAATGAACGGCAGTGTTGTCATGCGTACCCTCCCGTTTCCGTCTATTAGCTGGTCCAGCTGTACCCGGTAGAAAGGACGGCGCTCCAGTACCTAAGGCGTCGCACTTGTTTCCTAAGCATTGCCATTGAGGTACTTCGAAGTTGTATTCCACAATAAGCTGACACAGAAGCAAAACGATAGGCTGAAATTGAAACATAGTTAAAGAGTTGAATTATTCGGTTATGATAAATGTAGACAAAAAAAAACTCTGGTAATGAAACATAATCAACGTATTTGAGGGCATTAAAGCTTAATGACTACAGTTCAATTTCTACTTTCGCCTTTCAAAAAGCAGAATCCAGTGTCTTTTTTCGTAGACGGCTCTGGCATCCAGAAACTAGTGTTGCTTTTCAAGAAAATAAATGACCACGTAAATAATACTAGGTCGGAGGAAAATGCATGCGTACCCCTTGATGTGTCGTAAAACTATAGGATGAATTCAAAAACGCAATTATTTTTTCAAATGGAAAAATTAATCCGGCATTGGTCAAGTTAGTGGGAAGTTCTACAAATATCCTTGGTTAAAATTTAATGGTGATGCTGTTATGAGTTCTAGTACGTGCATTTGTGTTAGTACATGTAGCTCCGCTAACATACCGTTAGGAATTCAGTGATAATCGTTGGCAATCCCAGACTGTAAGCGCGGTATATTTTTCTCTAAACCTTACATTATAACGATACGGGCAAGTGTTCATTGTCGAAATTACTCGTTGGAAAAAAAGAAAGACTAGCAGTCCTGGAAAGTCATAGTATGCTAGTGAATGCTGATGAGAATTTAATGACAGCCCTATTAACACGACGCTATTAAGTGATAAAACAGCGTAATATTCAGCAGGTGTCGTACAACTGTATATGCCGTTAAAACATTATGGCTGCAGATACAAACTCATCTGCGATAGAGATGTTGGGGTGGGAGGGGTTGGTTTTAGACAAAAATACAGTAGGCGGTTTATTAAAGGGATAACAATTGTTCGTAAGATATCCATATTTTAAAATTAATACATTGTACAAAAACCCATTAAAATAAAAAAATCTATTTTACCACCAAAACGGCGATTGGCGCAATTATTCTAGAATTTGTGCTTGCCATCACATCAGGTGACCTCCATGGAACACTTTGTATAAATCTCTTAAGACAATATTACAAAAAAAAAAAAAAAAAAGGACAAACTTTGAATGTGGAAATGGATTCGTTACCCATTGGTAAGTATGGAAAAATTGTCCCAGGAATAACCATTTTTGTGCCAAAATGAACTGTTGTTATCCCTTTAAGTAGACCGCACTTTACTGTCAGCAAATTGTCGCATTTACAGCACGAACAAAAAGACGAATGCAGGGTCGTTTTGGATAATATGAAAATCGAACACAGCCTTGCCGTATAGGCTGTTATGTGTATCTCGATATTTGACGTGAGTCAGAAGGTACCGGGTATTTAACTGTCTTGAGAGGCGCATTTAATGTCTTACTGTGACAACTAAATCCTAAATCCTAAATTAGCTCTAGCTGATGAATCACTCAAATCTCAACATAACATTAGATCTCGATATTTATTTACACACGGACATGTTATTGAGCACGAGACATCATATTGCTCAAGGAAAACAATCTATGGCATATAAAACTTTTTTTATATATCACTGATAAAGAAAATTGTTGTTGGTTTCTTATCATTTTTGATGATATTACAGTATACCACAGAGAAAATAATGGGACAAGTCAGAATTATACAAGTATTATACAAAACTAGGGCGCATGTCACTAACTGGCGTTACTATGGGGAAAAGCTCTAGCTGATGAACCACTCCAATTACACTCGAAACCCACCCGAGCAATATCGTGGAAAGATGCCTCAAAAGCAGGGTGTGCTGACGGCATAGAATAATACGAGTGAAAGATCTGGTAAAAATAAAAAGGAGGCGTTCCTTTTTGACCACAGTAAATGTTTTTAGAGTCATATTTCTAGCTCAACTGAACGCAATATCACCAATGCAGTATGACGTGCCGATCCTTGGCCCAAGGACCCTGATCACGAGACTGAGTCATAATGAAGTAAATATGCAAATTGTGAGACGTCGTTTAAAAGACGATTAATTTCTACCAGCATGTTTTCTGCAGAAATATACTTATATTTCAGATCAAACAAACCATTGCCTATATCGCTCAGCATCGACACAGAACTCTCTGTCACAGCCCGGAAACATTTAGAACATTTCATCTGTGTAGTTGATACGGTTCAGGATGAAGATGATCCTAGTCTTGATTGTACTGGCGGCTATTGCCACCCAAGGTAATAACTTTATATGTTAACGCGTTCTCTGAATAGTTATGAAAAAGAAAAATGTTTCTTTACAGAGAGGAAGAACTTGTACAGATTGATTGAATAATAACAATATGTTTATTTCTAGAGAGAAAAAACTTATGTAGTTTGATGTAGAAACCAAATGCCCTTAAAGAAATGCTAATATAAAGCTATGGGGATGAACAGGTCCAAACAGATGGGTACCTGCATTGGAATTTAGATTATGAATATGACATAAGGAGCAATTTGAAAAGAACATTTTAAATCAAATTTGTAACTAGTATACTTAACAAGTTAAAATCATGCCGTTGTAGTTGGAGATGATAGAAAACACAGTTTTATCTTTTTTTGTTCACTCCTTATACATGTATTTAGGACACGTAAGTGTTCCATAGTCAAAATAACGCAACTTTATTACCTAAAACTAAGATTTTCGCCTGTGCACAAAATGCATTTCATATTCATTTTTCCAGAATTATCTGCTGGACCTGTGCAGGCAGATGCTGGAAGCAGGGTTGTGCGAGAAGACATGGTACCCAATGAGACTAAGAGAGGTTACGACTGTTTCGTTCACTCTGACTGCCAAGACGACTGCCGTGGTTGTGAAGTCTACAACTGCCGTTTAATCGACAGATATAACAAGAGGTGCATGTGTGATGGTTGTGTAAGTATTATAGCATATAGCCTTAAGATGTTGTTAATAGTTGCGCGTCACTTTTACCCCATATCGTCCACATTGGTGATGCGGCGTCGCAGTAGATAAACATTATATCAATATTGTTTTCCATTACTTTATATACAGTTAGCTAGCGATTGGTGCGAAAATCAAGTCCCAGGAACCAGTTTCAATTGATTTATTAATCAATTCCGCAGAAAGGTCTACTTCAGTTCAGTATATGACAATTATAACACTTGTAATTATTTTTAACTTTTAATTTTTCTTTCAGTACTAAAAATATCTGAATATGGACATTTCAACAGGAAGCAGAGACCAGTTATTTGATCAAATCGTAATTATTTCGATGATTAATAAAATGAGGCCAACAAAAAAGCTCTGTTTTTACATGTTAACCGTTGATTTAATATCAGACTGCACGCGCGTGACAGGTTTCTTATTGTTATTATTTCTTATTGGGAGACCCGAGCACCTTTTTTATTTATTGGAAAATCAGTTGCGATATTTTTGTCTTTGTTCAGAGGGTATTGTGAAAAGTTAAGTCTTGGTCAATTTGTAGCCCTATCTTCAACAATCGTGCTAACAGCTGTTCTACTGAAAGTGGTTTTTGTTGATGGAATAACATACCAGCAACACTGAAATGTTTCATGATTTTGAATTATTTGAACAAAACAGAAGTCATATTTCACTGTTTAGAATGCTTTCGAGATAGGACAGATGTGTCAACATAAGCATATGATAGGTTTTTGGGAAAGTATCTCTCTTTATACACGTAGATCTCTCTTAATAGAGTTTTTTTTTACTTGATTTGTACTTAATAAAGTCCTTCCACATTAAAAATGTTTACGTGAGTGAACTACCTTTGAAGACCAACAGTGATATATGAATTAGGTGTATAAAAGGGAGGGATGTCATCGGGTAAATAACAACTTACGCATTAATTGCTATATCCAGAATTTACATA